GAAAGATCCTTTCAGTCACGGAACCAGGGCTTCCGTGCTCGCGGTCCCATTACGCGGCATGCATTTTAAATCAAGAATGAATAATTTATTTACTCAGTAATTCATACACTCTGAACAATTAAGTAACCATTAATAAAGTAACTGCACGATGTATTTCCATACTGCGTCCCCCCCCCACCCCCGGAATAAACATTTCGACTGCAGAAAAACACACTGCAGAACCTTATGCTGCACTTAGAAACGTCAATAAATGTCAGCCTGTGGTGATTAAGGAGCGCGAGAGGCCACAGCCTGAGAGCACTCTCATGGGGCCAGCGGTCAGGAGATGCTGCTCCCAACATTCACAACAGCGTGGAGACGTGTCCGCACTCACAGAGAGGGGTCTCCGCCAGCCATACCCACGTATCCTTACAGAATTACCGGAAATCGTTTTACATAAAGGTCACTTGTAGCACATAATCTATCATAACCGGGGTGTCGAATGGAGACCGTCCAAAATGATTCATCGCCCAGGCGACGGAACTGCACTGGAGCAACATCTCCAGGGACCATCCATCCAAAACTAACTGGTTCCGATTTGACGACACGCTTTTCCGGCACGTCTCCGGATTATAGATGGCGGGGGAGTTTGGAAGGCTGATCTTCCACCTGGAAGCAAAGGATGGAAACTGAATAAAGACCATCCCTGCTTCCCTCAGAAGGGCTAGACCACCAATGGATGGTCATGTGACCAAAGAGGCTCAAAAAAAGCGCAGCTGGGAGAAAAAAAATCCCGCCTGTCCTGGGAAAGCTGACTGCACTTACCGCCGTTTAGAGGTGGGCTCCCCCGGCACAGCCCCCACCCCGCAAATACACTGCTCTGTTACCCACTCTGCGTATTTGTTGATAGTCATTGATATTCCGAGGCTGCGCCTGCATTTGGGAAGTAAGGGACCGTCCATAAAGGCCGTATTATACGGCGCCGGCTCTCCAGAGGGGCGGCCACTGAAAAAGCGAACTGCAGGCTTTGCCCCTTTGTCCTTTGGACGCGCACACTCACAAGCACAGCAGAGACACCCCCTGGCTGACTAAGCTACACCGACAGTCACATTTAGGCTTGAGGAAGAGAGAGAGGAAGAAAAAAAAAAAAAAAACGGTTATTTTGTGCCGCCCCTCGGAAAGCTTACATTTTGCAGAAAACAGTACTAGTCTGCAGAAAGGCTGGAGGCAGGAAGGCTTTCAAACAGCACCCCCCAATCCCCCACCCGCCAGGCCACACACATTACCTGCAGTGAAATCGCCCCCACGTGCTACAACAGATCCCTCTCCACCAGACACGGGGGGGGAAGAACAGCTCTGAGGTTCCGACGGGAACTGGGACACGAGCCACACCCCCTACGTGATCTGGCTGCTCCTTTACATCCGCCGCTGCGATACATCAGCTCACTGCGACGCTGCGGCCATCCCAGGCTCGCAAGGAAATGCTCCTCTGACCTTTACGCCGGGGAGAGCTCTTTGCGGAGACCAGGATGAAGTTGGAGACAGAAAAGCCACTTAATAAAGGGATGCAGCCGTTTCAGAGAAAAGGGCAAAATCCTGACCAGAAAACTGACATGCATGACACCAACAAGCCATATACAGAACGGCAGAGTTCATATTTTTCATACATATATCTGAATTCAAAGGATTTGAAACAATGACACTAAGTAAATGAAATTATGCGAAGGTTTCTGCCTTAATACTATAAATCATGCAGACTGCCAGTGAGCAATTCCTATATACGGCCTGCCAGTGAGTTGCATCTCCAAACTGCCAGTGAGTCAACCGGTTGGGCCTTCTCTTCAGAGTTTAAAAATACCCACAGTTCTTTGCAGAACGACCGCTGCGCAAACAGACCAAAGCTAGCCTGCACTAGCCTCAACGCCTGCGGGAAGGTGTACGGAAGGTAAACAAAAGTATGACTTGCTTACAACCACGCAGCTACACCTACCCGCTTTCAGCAGTCACCTGCCTAAACTAACGGGCAGAGAACCACCAGTAGAACGTTTTCACCACAAGTAGCAAATCTGGGAACCACGGAACCATCGAGATTCAACTTATAGTCAGACTCGCTAGGACAGGCTGACGTTTTAGCCACTGTTAGCGAAGCCAAAAAGAATCCTCCAACAGAGCCCTTAATTTAGGAAGCTGAGAAGCCTCATTGTCCGGAAGGGTGTCCATGGCTGAGCCGTGATGAAGACAGGGAGGAAGTGCAAGCAGAGCATGGTGGTGGGCGGCCAGATGAGCCAACACTAGCTTAGGGATGCCAGGTCCGACTCTTCATTCGCGTTTCATGAAGGCTTCAGCTTGGTGTCTGCATGCTGGCCAGCGGACCACCACGCTAGGAATATTCCACACCAATATTAACGGCAATACGAAAGATTAAAAGAGACCAGCCTAATAAATGAGATTTGTTTTTCGTACGTCCATCATCACTGGCCATCTGGACCGGAATTGACTGGCTAAAAATGCTCAAAACCACTGGTGAGTCTCAATCTGAAATACAGGAATAGTCCGGTATAACAGGACTATATAAAAAGTTTAGCGATCCATCTTGATACGCTGCATAAAAAACTGAACAAGACGAAGAACACAATTACAGCAGGCATTCAGTGGAGCCCCACGCACGGCCAGTGAGAATCCAGCTCCCTGTATGAACCAGCATTTAATCTGCCCTGCTTACCCACCCCCCACCCCCCCCAACTCCAAAGAGGTTTGAGCCAATTCCATTTTCTCCACTAGTCCCCCATCTCTGGTGCTGGGCCCCGTTCTCCGAGTACCACCTCCAAACTACCCTCCCCAATTGCCGGCCGACAATCGGATCGGAATCCATCGCGGTGGCGGCATGCCGGCGAGTTCTGGCTCATGTGACAGGAGTAGGGAGAGCGGGAGGTGCTGAATTTGCTGTCGGGGGGGGGGGGGGGGGGGAACTTGCAGGCACACACAGCCCACGGAGCAGCAGTCGGTACCGCAGGGGAACCAGTCCCCAGGCAGATCTCCGACTACAGGAAACGATGGCGCTGGGGCGAGGGGGAGTCCACCCCCGCCGCCCAATTAAAAGAACCTCACACACGTTTCTACCTGCAGCATTACCTACCACTGCTACCCAGGGGGGGGGGAGTGAGTTCCACCCCATCACGTTTGCACCATAGGAAGCTCAGGTGGGACCTGCAGCTTCAGTCATTCCTTGGAAAAGGCACCTGACGTTACCATGAGGTAGAACCGCAGGGAGAGTGGAACCTTCTAGTAAGTGGGTGTATTAATTCAACATTCAGGACTAAAATCGGGGGGGGGGGGGGGGACCTATGTGGTGCCGCAACGCGCATCACAGTCATCAGGACCGGCTCTAGCTAGAGGCGGAATAGGCAGCGGTCTAGGTCCCCCAAATTAGCTACGTTGTGGAGGAAGTGAAATAATCAGATTTCTAGGCAGGGGGGCTCCCAAGTAAGGTCCCTGAAAAGGTGGCGTCAATCATGACCGTCATCTCACACCTCCAGCAATGGGGGTTTGAGTCCCCCTTCCCCAGCTCTGCACAAGGAGTCTGCATGTTCTCCCTGTGTTTCTTGTGTTTTTTTCCCCTCGCAGTCCAGAGACGCGCAGTTAGGTGAAGGGGGGGGTCCATAAGCCATAGTAGGGTGTGAGCATGTGTCCTGTGATGGACAGGCATCTCATCCAGGTCGGACCCCAGTCCTGTGGCACCGAGAACGGCTCCAGGAAACTCCCCATGGCCGCCACGGAAAACAGTACGGACGACTACTGTCTGAACGCTCAGAGACAGAACAAAAGTCAACAAAAAAAAAAAAGCTCAAAACAAAAAGTAGCTGATAGCAATAAATTATCTTCAAAAACCCAAAATCATTCATTCGATTGTTGCTTTGAAAGCAATGACGGAAATCAATTTGATGGCTGCTCTGATTTTCAAGGGCTTGAACCGCAGCCTGCACTCATTTGAAGTCATCCTGAAGCTTGCTGACCATGACGCAGGCTCCGATAAAAAAAAAAAGGGGAGGGGGACTCCCATTCTCAAGCAGGGAAATNGAATTGGGGAGGGGGACTCCCATTCTCAAGCAGGGAAATGGCCGCCCAAATGACCAAGTTCTCACGGGGTCCTTCTATGACAAACTACTCTGAGGCCTGAGGGGGGGGCTGAGGACGAGCAAATGCTTAGTGATCTCTTACACATGCAGGGACGATATATCAAACCCAAACAGTCGGTGAATCAGGTGAAAGGGGACCGGCTTGTTTAGTAAACAGCCTGGAAGAAATGCATTCTGGGAAATGTTACTCTTAGATGTGGGCTTACCGCGATCCATACGGCGACTCCTAAGAGCAGAATCCATGGGCTTCTCTATTGACAGATTTTAGCTTCCATTTAGCGGCACCCCTGGCTGAACCTGAGGCGGCGACAGGAGCCGGGCCCCCAGATGACAGCGTGACGAACAGCCAGCAAACCCATTAACATTTTCTAAAGGATGGAGGAGCTGCCCCTTCCAAATAAGTCTGGTTAATTCCAGGGATCCTACCTGCATCTGAAAGACCCTTTAATCAGGGGGGGGGGGATTTAATTAAAAATAACGGGCACGGCACAGGACAGAATGAGACATTCCTTTGAGGGAGTATGGGACCATAACCTTGACGATCGGGAATTCGGAACATCGTGGGAAGCGGGAATTGCCAGCGATAGTGGGGCAAGGTTGACGACAGCACTTCATATAAATGAGGAATTATAATTCGTCCTTCAGCGAACCGGTCCCATACCAGCTACCCCCCCCCAAGCACTCCGAGCCCCAGCAATCAGTGATGTTCAATTCTCTTTTAATTAACAGCCACGTGCAAGATGTCAAAGGCACAGCAAAGACCCCTTATATGGACGGAAAGCAGAGAGCCGTCTGAAGAAGCCCGCATTCAGTGGAAGGGTCCATCGATTGGTCAAACGTGAGCCGCGGGTCGGCAGTCACGGGGGGGGGGGGGGGGGGCCTTACCTCCCTCTGGAGCACCAGCTCTTTGGTGAGCATCATGGCCTCGTCACTGTAAGGCTCAGCTTCCTGCTGTCCCCCGGGAATGTTTCGAGACCCTCGTGGACACTCGATTCCTGGAAACGCAAGCCATATGTTACAAGGGGGTCAACCACAGATCGGCGACATCCAAGCCCGTCGACAGAAGACTCACACTTAGATCGAAAACCGCACCCTTAGTTTAATGACAATGCATGTAGGCACATTAAACCGTGATACTGACTTTGGGAAAATGACGAAAGTAGCGAAAGCTTCAGACTGACGCGTGCCAAAGCTTTGCGTTGTGCAAACGACTCACGTGTGCTTAAAAGGACACTTAGCACCTCACCGCGTGTTGGGCTTGAATGACGCTCATTCAGAACCTGCCGGGTTTCATTATGAGAATTGGCAGTTCGAGCAAATTACTCTCAAGCTGGGCCTCATGAGGCCCCAGTGCTGAATGATGTTTTAACTTTTAATGTCGTTTAGCATTTATTAGCACATATAAAAGGCCAGTGGTAGAGACTATGCTTCCGTGGTGATGTAAACAAGCGCTGGATCTGTATGAGATAGGCTTTTCTCACACAGAGTTTTAGCACAACTGGCCAAATGGCGAGAGACATTAGCCACACTGCTAGCTAAATTAGCCATATTTAGCTCCGACATGGTAACAGCAGGCATTAAAGCATGTGCCTTATCATAAAAATGCCAGGCTCTTTTTCCTAAAGCACAGTGGGGGAGGGGGATAAAAGCAGAATGTCCCTTTTCCAAGCACCAATGAGATGCATGCCAGACGGGTGGGAACAGCAATCCGGCCAGCCCCGTCAGCGCCCGGACGCGTATCTCAGAATGTGTCCACCTCATGCCTGCCGAACCAACGCTGAGCACAGCAACGGCCACCAGGCATTAATCATATCGCGTACCATATTATTAACTCTGGTTCTGGGGAGGCTATTCTATCCTCCCACCGATGCAGTATCCCAGAAACCCACCCGGCGGCGGACGGATGCGGAGCCGGAACGATCTAGCATGATCCGTGTGATTCAGCGTCACGCTAACGCCGGCATCAGCGGCACGCCTCCCCTCTTCCTGGAGCGGCATTAGCCGAACGCTAAGCGACACAAGGTCCCCCATTGTTGGGCTGACGCTCATCCTTTGTCCCCTTAAGCCGCGTTATATTATCCATGAGAGTCTTACATGGAGCAATAATTAACTGGAGGAACTGCCCCCCCAGAGGAAGAGCTGATGCCAGGAAAGACCCCAACAGCAGGGCTGGTGTTTAAATACGCCCAGGAGACTCAAGGGACAATGTTCGCTTCCCTTAAACATTTTCTTCTTACATCAAACATTCCGGCTCTTTAAATGTGCGGTAACTTCAGGAACAGAAGAATTGACGCTTCTTATGTGGAGGCAGCATGTTTTTTCCCCGGAATGAAAGGAGCAAAGGAAAGCAGGCCGGTCCAGAGGACTAACAGATACGTGCATGTTCAATCCCACGTGCCAGATGGCACTGGCGGCACCTTCCGGAACTCGCATCTGACAGGGGGAGCACGTGTCTGGGTGCCAAAGTCAAAGGTGGCCCGTTTGGAGTCGCCCGCTTCCCCCCCCCGGCTTACTGGGCCAACAGACACGCCGCAAACCCCGAGCCTGCAAACCTCCACCGGCACCATGCGCTGCTGGGAGGCAATAAAACAACTCAATTACCTCTTAATAGTTTGTAAATGCATTACCAGACCACAAATTAGCATTTAAATTGCAGAACACATCCGGCCTGCTTCTGCGATAAGGATTTCTCCCGTCTAACCCCCCCC